AACACATTTGACAATCTGGAAGAAATGGATGCATTCCTAGAGACATATAAACTACCACAGCTGAACCAGGAAGAAGTAGAAATCCTGAACAGACCCATAACCAGTAAGGAGATTGAAACAGTCATCAAAAATCTCCAAACATCAAAAGCCCAGGGCCAGACGGCTTCCTGGGGGAATTCTACCAAACATTTAAGGAAGAACTAATTCCTATTCTCCTGAAACTGTTCCAAAAAATAGAAATGGAAGGAAAACTTCCAAACTCATTTGATGAGGCCAGCATCACCTTGATCCCAAAACCAGACAAGGATCCCATCAAAAAGAGAACTACAGACCAATATCCCTGATGAACACAGATGCGAAAATTCTCACCAAAATAGTAGCCAATAGGATTCAATAGTACATTAACAGGATTATTCACCACGACCAAGTGGGATTTATTCCAGGGCTGCAAGGTTGGTTCAACAACTGCAAATCAACCAATGTGATACAACACATTAATAAAAGAAAGAACAAGACCCATATGATACTCTCAATAGATGCTGAAAAAGCATTTGACAAAGTACAGCATCCCTTCCTGATCAAAACTCTTCCAATTGTAGGGATAGAGGGCACATACCTCAATATTATCAAAGCCATCTATGAAAAACCCACCGCAAATATCATTCTCAATGGAGAAAAACTGAAAGCTTTTCCGCTAAGGTCAGGAACACAGCAGGGATGTCCATTATCACCACTGCTATTCAACATAGTACTAGAAGTCCTAGCCTCAGCAATCAGACAACAAAAGGAAATTAAAGGCATCCAAATCAGCAAAGAAGAAGTCAAACTATCACTTTTTGTGGATGATATGATACTATATGTGGAAAACCCAAACGACTCCACTCCAAAACTGCTAGAACTTGTACAGGAATTCAGTAACGTGTCAGGATATAAAATCAATGCACAGAAATCAGTTGCATTTCTCTACACCAACAACAAGACAGAAGAAAGAGAAATTAAGGAGTCCATCCCATTTACAATTGCACCCAAAACTATAAGGTTACCTAGGAATAAACCTAACCAAAGAGGCTAAGAATCTATACTCAGAAAACTATAAAGTACTCATGAAAGAAATTGAGGAAGACACAAAGAAATGGAAAAATGTTCCATGCTCCTGGATTGGAAGAATAAATATTGTGAAAATATCTATGCTACCTAAAGCAATCTACACAATCTACACATTTAATGCAATCCCTATCAAAATCCCACCCATTTTTTTCAAAGAAATGGAACAAATAATCCTAAAATTCATATGGAACCAGAAAAGACCTCCAATAGCCAAAGGAATATTGAAAAAGAAAGCCAAAGTTGGTGGCATCACAATTCCGGACTTCAAGCTCTATTACAAAGCTGTCATCATCAAGACAGCATGGTACTGGCACTAAAACAGACACATAGATCAATGGAACAGAAGAGAGAGCCCAGAAATAGACCCTCAACTCTATGGTCAATTAATCTTCGACAAAGCAGGAAAGAATGTCCAATGGAAAATGACAGCCTCTTCAATAAATGGTGTTGGGAAAATTGGACAGCCACATGCAGAAAAATGAAACTGGACCATTTCCTTACACCACACATGAAAATAGACTCAAAATGGATGAAGGACCTCAATGTGAGAAAGGAATCCATCAAAATCCTTGAGGAGAACACAGGCAGCAACCTCTTCGACCTCAGCCGCAGCAAAGTCTTCCTAGGGACATGGCCAAAGGCAAGGGAAGCAAGGGCAAAAATGAACTATTGGGATTTTATCAAGATCAAAAGCTTTTGCACAGCAAATGAAGCAGTTAACAAAACCAAAAGACACCTGACAGAATGGGAGAAGATATTTGCAAACGACATATCAGATAAAGGGCTAGTGTCCAGAATCTATAAAGATCTTATCAAACTCAACACCCAAAGAACAAATAATCCAATCAAGAAATGGGCAGAGGACATGAACAGACATTTCTTAAAGGAAGACATCCAGATGGCCAACAGACACATGAAAAAGTGCTCCACATCACTCGGCATCAGGGAAATACAAATCAAAACCACAATGACATATCACCTCACACCAGTCAGAATAGCTAAAATTAACAAGTCAGGAAATGACAGATGCTGGCGAGGATGCGGAGAAAGGGGAACCCTCCTACACTGTTGGTGGGAATGCAAGCCAGTGCAACCACTCTGGAAAACAGCATGGAGGTTCCTCAAAATGTTGAAAATAGAACTATCCTATGACCCAGCAAATTGCACTACTCGGTATTTACCCTAAAGATACAAACGTAGTGATGCGAAGGGGCATGTGTACCCGAATGTTTATAGCAGCAATGTCTACAATAGCTAAACTATGGAAAGAACCTAGGTGTCCATCAACAGATGAATGGATAAAGAGGTGGTATATATACACAATGGAATACTATGCAGCCATCAAGAGAAATGAAATCTTGCCATTTGCGACGACGTGGATGGAACTAGAGGGTATCATGCTTAGCGAAGTAAGTCAATCGGAGAATGACACCTATCATATGATCTCCCTGATATGAGGGAGTTTAGATGCAACATGGGGTGTTAAGGGGGTAGGAGAAGAATAAATGAAACAAGATGGATTGGGAGAGAGACAAACCATAAGTGACTCTTAATCTCACAAAACAAACTGAGGGTTGCTGGGGGTGAGGGGGTTGGGTTTAGGGGTGTGGGGTTTTGGCCATTGGGGCGGGTATGTGCCATGGTGAGTGCTGTGAAGTGTGTAAACCTGGCAATTCACAGACTTGTACCCTGGAGATAAAAATATATTATATGTTTATAAAATATTTAAAAAAAAAAAAGAGTTCGCCTGGGTGGCTCAGTCGTTTAAGCCTCTGCCTTCAGCTCAGGTCATGGTTTCGGGGTCCTGGGATCGAGCCCCACATCAGACTCTGCTCAGCGGGGAGCCTGCTTTCCCCTCTCTCTCTGCCTGCCTCTCTGCCTACTTGTGATCTCTGTCAGTCAAATAAATAAATAAAATCTTAAAAAAAAAAAAAAAAGAGTTCACCTCAAATTCTGGACTCCTGTTCTCTGAATTCATTCCACCAGATTTGTCCAAAATTAAGCTGTGTGGAAAACACAATTGTTTCCTGTCTATTTTTTTTCTATCAAATTAGAGGTCTCAGGTTAAAATATTTTTGTACTTGTTTCATAAATATTATAACAGAATATCGACAGGTATTTTTTCCTGATGTTCATGGTTATGAATTTTGTATCTATTTTTTCCCCTATAATTTATTTCTCTACCTTTATGCTACATGCAGAATTATATACCATAAATTTAGCTCACACTCAAAATATCTTTCTCGCTAAAAACAATTTGATCACTCCTTCACAGATCTGCTTTGTCTTTACTTCGTAGACAATTGGATTCAAGGTGGGAGGCATTAACAGGTAGAGATTGGCTATAAAAATGTGAACATGGTGAGGTATGGTGTGTCCCCTCAAATGATGAGTAAAGTTGAAGAAGGTTGGGACATAGGTAATGACAATAATACATATAAGAGATGTACAGGTGCTGAAGGATTTGTGGTGAGTATCTGAAGATGACAGACTCACTGCAGGACCGATAATCATGGTGTAAGACATGAAAATACAAAACATATCAAATCCTCCAATCAATATGGCAGCTTTGAGACCATAGATGGCATCAATCTTGATGTTGCCACAGGACAGTTTGGCCACAGACGTAGGTCACAGTAGGTGGGGTGGATGAGGTTGCCCCTGCAGTAGTAAAAGTAGTTGACCAGGAAAGTGAATGGGATCACGAGCAACAAACTTTGACTGAAGGTAGCAAACCCAAACTTGATAATTACTGTGTTGGTAAGGATGCTAGAATAGCAAAGAGGGTAGCAAATGGCCACATAGTGATCCAGGGCCATAAGCATGAGCACGCCAGACTCCATACCTGTCAACATGTGGATGAAAAACTTCTTCACGAAGCAGGGATTAAAGTCAATCTCTTTGAGACTGAACCAAAAGATACATAATATATTAGGGACAAATGAAGTGCACCCACTAATATCTGTAAGAGACCACAGATCTAGAAAGTAATACATAGGCTGATGCAGGGACTCATCATGGCTGATGAAGTAGATGAGCCCACAGTTCCCCAGGACAGCGATGATGTATATGTGGCAGAAGGGCATGGAGATCCAGATGTGTAAGTCTTCTAGTTCAGGAATCCCATCAAGAATGAAGTATCTTGGTGTCAGGCAGGAGATGTTGGCTTCATGCATGATGGTCAGTTGCAAAGCATGTTACTTTTATACCAGTAAAGACGTCCTACACAAGAAGATGGTAGTGAGGTTGATTTCAGTCAGAGACAAAAGATGAACAAGTATTTTGTATGATCTAAACAATAAATTTAGGAGAAAAATAATCTTTTTGTACCCACGCAATGTTATTTGATCCTACTGAGTAGTCCTGGGCCTCTTATTGAAGGACAAGAATGCTAACATAGTGCAAACATTATAACAGATACCTGATCTCCTTTGGTTTTGTACTGTAAACTCTGTCTATGTGTATGTGTTCATATTCTCAGGTGATAGTTTGATGGGCCAAAAATTACATTATAATTTACAACTTACAAATCTTGGCCATGTTCATTTTGTACTATATTTCTAATTGTCTTTTGCTGGTAAGCATGAAAGATTTTAGTATTTACATTTAACTAATGACATTGTTAAGCTCTGTGCAGTGCTCAACAGTTTTTCTTGATTCTCCCAAATTTCTATGTAGATAAGCATAGTATATCAATAATCACAATTATTTTAATTTCTTTTGGTCTATTATTTTTAGTCCCAAATAACTATGAAAATCATATTAGATAGGTTGAAATCTTTCTTAATTAATTGTTTATTTTTTGAAATAATTAGCTTTCTAACTTTCTTCTATGTTCTGGGACATGGATTTAACCTGAAAGCACTTTGATTAAAATCATGACTCCAGAATATCTTTCCCTATTTTATTTTGAGAAAATTAATCTTTATCTTATATTTTTAAAAGTCCTTCCTTAGTTATTGTTTGCAGTTTGAATTATTCATTTTCACACAGCATTGCACTGTATATTTTATTGCATTTTCGAAAATTATTTTATATGTTTTTGTTATATTTTAATCTCCCTGATATGTCTTTTCCAAAGTTCCAATTTTGATTGCTTCTATTTTCTCTCTCCATTGTGTGTGACTGTGTGTGTATGTGTGCTGTGTGTGTGTATATGAGAGAGAGGGAGAAAATTTAGCCTAAGATTTTTCTATATAAGTGGTTAGTTAATTTGTTTATATACATTACTTTTAACAAGTGGAAGATATTTCAAATGATGCTATATGAACAATTTCAACATATAAAAAAGATAAAAGCATTTTTTTCCTAGGAAACAGGAAAAGATTAGAACTGACAGTTTGTTAAAGCAATTTGCTTAACTGTAAATTGAATGAGCCACAGAAACATTAAGTAAACCATGGAAATTTTCACCACAACTTGGGCCATAATAAGCAAGATATATAGTACTATCATAATTATTATTAATATTATTACCTTATTTTGCTTTACAAAATAAATGAGATGAAACAATGTCTAGCCATCCTTTAAACCTCTAATATCCTTACATCACACTGAGAGCAAAAGCCAGCATCTCTATATTTGTTTACAATATCCTGTATAATTAGAACTCTTTTGAATCTCTAAGTGGTCTCCCACTGCTATAACTCTGATCCTCTCAGTCTATCCATCCGTACTGGAGATTTCCCAAACTCAGCAATCATGAACGCAGTTTAGGCATTTCCACTTGCCACTTTCACTACCTGCTTTGTTGTTCCCCAGATAATATCATGGTGCATACATTCAACAGTTTCAGGTCTGCATTCAGTGTCAGACCCAAAGTAAGGCTTTCCCTTACCTTAATTCAAAAATGCAAGCCCCAGACCTCTGCCAAGCTTGGCATAAAATCCTGCTTTCCAAATTTTCTTTACTCCGCAGCAATTAGTATTGTCTTTTGTCCCTCATTAGAATGTAAAATCTATATGCACAGGAATTGCTGTCTATTTTGTTCACTGCTGTGTCTCTTGCACTTAATGTACTAACTGTCATAAGAAAAGAATCTTTGAATGAATGAATGAATGAATGGATGAATTTCAAAATTTCCTTTTTGATTGTTTTTCTTGCTTGTATAATTTATATATCTTAATAAATTGTGTTTGTGTTGGAAAATCAGAGAATCTGGAGGATAGCTAAAATGGTTTCAAGATATCTAGAATCTGAAAGGGTTTTTTTGTTTGTTTGTTTGTTAGTTAGTGAAATTGGAGATACTTAAAACTGGCATGAGTGCATGGAGTATAGACAAGTAATTGCATTTGTATTATTTTGCATACTTTAATCACACATACGATGAGTAAAAAAAGTTATAGGAAAGTAGGTTTGGGATCAAGTATCATTATTCATTCATGCAGACAGAGATCTCTAGTAAGATAACTAGAGATAACTTTCGTCAGATGTAGTCAAGCAAAGGGGGAATAGTATGTATCATGAATGTTGTTATCAGGAAGTTGGAGTACATGGTCACTGGAATTCCTTTCAACTCTTGCACTAATGCATTTTCATCCATAAAGGTATTACCACTTTCTAAGAAAGATTCTTCCATCTACAGAGAGAAGAATTTTTCTATTATTGTGCAGATATTTGCTTGCCTGTAACATTGTCTCTTTGGTCCTTAGCACACCAACACTATGGTGCTATTAACTACACTGAAGTTTTTCCCCACTTCTCCTCCCTCTTCCAAGCAGTTGTGAATCCCTTCAGAAGTCAAAAGAGTGAGATAATTTAGTCCTTCACATTCAGCCACCCTCTGACTCAAATCCCTGCTATTTAGTTGCGGATTTTCTGTGCATCTTACATATTTTTTTCTTCTGAATCGCCCAAACTCACCCTGATGGCTGATGTTTTTAAATCTCCATTCATAACTGGTATTGCTCAGGAAATTGTACAGCATTGGTTAGGAATCCTCCATATCAACACTTAGTGGTTTCTCTGTGATTTTCCAAGCCAAAGAAAACTTTTTTTTGACACTTCACAAATATATGTCCCATAGGTCTTTAGTGGGACAGGAGGTAAATTTAACTTTGTTGAAAAGATCTATACACATTTCCCCTGTTATCTGAAAATAGAGTATTCCTATGAAATGGCATAAAGCAAAGGGGCAATTACCATTAATTTATATAGAAAATTTGTGAACATTTCCAGACCCCAAATAATGCCTCTTGGGCTTTTCTGATACTTTAAGGTATACCTTGTTAATGGATGCACAAAATAAATGGACATAAGGCACAGATGCTCACAGACATAGTTCAAAGCTATGAGGGCTTGATGCTGAGATGCTCAGATGCTGAGTGTGGTTCCTGGGGAAGGAGCCTGGTGGCGTGCTCTGGCTGCTCGTGTGCTCTGTGCTTATAACACTTCATTGTACAACAAACACTGTTGGCTAGTTTTACTTTTAGCCTTTTTTTTTTTTTTTTGTACAAGGGAAAATCTTCAATTTCTTTCATTTAGCAAAAACAATACTAATGTAGGTCTTTTTTAAAAGTGAAGTGACATAACAAAAACTCTCAAAAAGTGGGGATACCTCATATTTAGACTATACTTGACTCAGGGGAAAAGTCTTCAATAGTTACCCTCAAATTTTAACAACTTTTCTCCAAAGGAACATATGAGCTGTCTGGTATCCATTACAGTATAAATCTAGAACTAGTTTTAACTCCCCAGAGTGCCTCAATTCTAGCTTCAAAACCTAAACATGAACTTATTATATGACTCAACAATTCCATTCCTGGATATTTCCGTAAGAAATCTGAAAATATATATCTATCCACAGACTTGCCCATAAGTGTCTAGAGCAGGTTTACTCATAATACCCCAGAAAGGAAAAAAAATAAATGTCCAATAATTCATATGAGTGAATAAGTGAATTGTAATAAATTCATGCAATGATATACAAGAAGCAAAGTAAAAAGAATAAACCACCAATACTGATTTCAAATTATATCACAAAATGTAGTACTCAAAACAGTATGGTATTCACATAAAAACAGAACAGACCAATGGGACAGATCAAGAGCCCTAGACCCCTATCTTATACCACTTGCAGAAATTAACTCAAAATGAATTAAGGACTTAAATAGAAGATGTGAAATCATAAAACTTCTAGAAGAAAAACTGGGGGACAATCTTCTAGGCTTCAGTCTTGGCTGTGTTTTTTTGGATATGACACCAAAGGCACTAGGACAAAAGCAAAGATCAAGTGAGATTGCACCAAACTAAATAATTCTGCACTGCAGAAGAACAATCAGCAAAATGTAAAGGCATCCTGAAGACTGGAAGAAGATATTTGCAAACCATATATCTGGTAATGGATTAATATCAAAAATAAATGAGCAATTTCTATAACTCAGTAGCAAAACAAAACAAAATGAAATCCTGACAATTTTATTAAAAATGTACAGAGTATTTAAATACATGCTTTTTAAAAGAAGACATACAAATGGCCAACAAGAACACCAAAAGGTGCTTAACATCACCAATCAACAAGGAAGTGTAGTTCAAAACTATAAGGAGATCACCTTAAATCTGTTAGCATGGTTGTTATAAAATAAAACAGTAGATAACGAATGTTGGAGAGGAGAAAGGGGAACTCTGGTACACTATTGGTGAGAATACATATTGGTTCAGCTACTGTGGAAAACAGCATGAAGTTACCTCAAAAAATTACAAATAGAAATACCATATGATCAGAAATCTCACTTCCAGGTATATATCTGAAGAGATAAAATTATTATCTCAAAGAAATATCTGCACTTCCATGTTCATTGCAGCATTAACACAACACACCAGGACATGGAAACAAGTATCTATAGATGGATGACTATATAAACAAAATGTGGTATCTATATTGGACAGAATATTATTCATCCATATGAAAGAGGGAAATATTAACATTTATGACAAATGGATTGACCTTGAGGGCATTATGCTGAATGAAGTAAATCAGGTAGATCGTATTGTATGATCACACTTAAGTGTGGAATGTAAAAACATCAAACTCATTGAAACAGTAGAATGGTGGATGCCGGGGGATAAGGGTAGGGAAAATTGGGAGATGTTGATCAAAGGATACAAACTTGCAGTTATAAAATGAATATAAGTGTTAGAGAGTCTAATGTATAGCATGGTGACTACACTTAACAATATT